CTTTCATTGAGAATCTGAAGATTATGGAATAGTCTCTAGACTAGTCTCAGTTGACTTTTGAGGCATGAATGCAGTCAGTCAATGTTGACCAAACTTGGGTACACGGGGTGAAAACAATCGATTCAGCAGGAACCAGCCAACTTTTGGCCCATATGTACAGCTGCCTGACTGGCTTCTGTTGAATGAACTTGCTGGAAAACCAGCACCTGATCAGTGCTTGCAGCCAATGGAAGCCATCCAGGACCAGCGATTTGTTTGCAGGAAAGGATCTTGTAGCCTTGTCAATTTCTTCTATTGAGAAATCAGCATGCATATGTGTCTTGTCCTCCTCTGATGAGGGGATATAAAGATAGGAGAGAAGCATCTCCAGAGCTTCCACCTCATAGGAGGGCTCCAGCACATGCAGGGGACTATTGTATTGCACAAAGGAGTCGACTATAACCTCCAGGTCTGAAGACAATTCCTCTCTCGCCATTTTAATGCAAGGGATATTACTCTGGGTCAGTTGTTTTGCAGCTAAAATCACTAAGTTATCCCATATTTATCTCGTTGTGCAAAGAGAGACTCAGCCCTCCTCGTACACAAAGTGTAGGTTAAATCAGTCATATGAAGACTTCATTTATATCTCGCCTCTAGCAAAGCCTTGTACGAGTTTGCAGATAGGGAGGAGGCATGGACCTGGCAACTTCCTTCCTCCTGAAACGCCTGGAATATAGTAATGGTTGGTGTGGGTAGCCTTTATGGCGGAAATATATATCTCCTCCCCCCCCCCCCCCCCCTCATAAGCACCAAAAAAAAAAAAAAAAAAAAAAAACACAAACATGTTCTTGGGTGGTGTCCATGTTTTCTTCCCAGAAGGAAGCAAAATAGGGCCACAGCAGTAGTTACCGTTTCCTCCTGCAACCTCCTCCCCCATTTCTCACAAGGAATCCTTAGTAATATCAACAGGGGTATGATCCGATATACCACCTGCTAGTTAAGAAGCCTCTAGTACCATTTGGAGAAGTGGATTATTAGCAAAACACCAGATCTAGGATTATCTATGTGTTCTGGATAAGTGAAAGTTGTGGGTGCTTCGGGAGAACACTTCTTAGATGCGATTTCCAGTCCAGTGCTTTAGTCTGTATTCTCTGCTTGTGAGCCAATGAGGAGACCATAAGCAGCCCATCAACACCATTTCAGATACAGCCATTTGTTCCAAACATTATAAAAGGGATTAAACCATCACAGTGAAGAGATACCTCGAGTATCCTTTGACCAGTCAAACAAGGTTTGACAGATTAAGGTCACAGCTAGGACAGGGTACAGAGCAGGAGCCTACCAGAGTTATAGGAATGGTGGATGCTTTGGAATAGTACACTCCTGGCTCCAGAGTGGCAGACCATTTCAAAATGGGTACAAAGCCAATAAGTCATTGGAAGGTACAAATATCTTCTCAGGATATATTCAGTCTCCACCAAAAAATGGTTTGAACAGGCAGGTGCATTGGGAAGGTCTAGGCAGTCTTAGGAGCTCTGAAGAATCCTAGACTGGGGACAGCACTGATTTAAGTGACAGGCCAATTCTCTAGCTTCAAGGTGGTGCACTCAATCAGAGCCAAAACAGTCTGTTTTTAGAGTGTTGACAGAAGGCAGGATTGTCAGGAAAGGGATATACATTCCATTATACTGTAATTAGAAACAATCATGTTGCTTCAAAAATACCTATAGACAAATATAGGACAGGAATTCAGCTTCAAGTTGACATTTGCAGTACATTGCAATTGGCTTACAAAAAAAAAAAAAAAAGAAGAAGAGTACTGATTGAAGATGGAATTATATTTAGTTTTTTTTACCAGAGGAAATTACTCAAGCTCAATTTCCCAGGAGGTGAACAGAATATCCTATACCTCCAATAAAAATGTTAAATTTTCCAGATAAAAGCCCCTCCATGCCAGGAGAGTCCTGTACATCTTAAATAGTCAAAAACCTCTATTGCCATTTACAGATACAGTCAAACATTAGGAAAGTATAAAAAAAAAACAAAAAAAAAACCACACACCCTTTACTGGAAACCTGCAGTGAGGAACCATAATGGCTGCCATTGCTCATCTCTGCTCAAAATACTGGTTTCTTGCTTGTCATACTGATCTATTATGACAGACTAATCGCTATAGAAGGCAGACTAGGAGCTCTGTACTAGTAGGAATCAAGTTCTCACCTCCACCGCTCTGATGTGTTTGCGTCCTTGCTGAGCAATAAGGACAGTGCGCTCACAGTGTGCCGACTGCCCAGTCTTTCTCCATCCTGAACTGGCCAGCAACCACACACCCCTGACTGACTACCGGCCCCGATTGGCTGCACTTCTTCTCTGGCACCTTATTTAACCACCTCCTGTCCGGCCATTGTATATAAATGGCCGTACGGTGGCAGTGCAGGTTCGGGTGGCAGTTTATAAATGGCCTCCCCGCCCCCTGCTTGTGCGTGCTCACTGGGAGCACGCAGCACCGCAATCCGATGCCCACTGTGTCCTTTGGACACAGTGGAACACCGATCGTCGTACGGGAGCTCTGTGCGAGTTCCAGATCATGTGATCACTGATTGGCCAATCAGTGATCACATGCAGAGTAATAAGCAAGATGTCACTTCTGACATCCTTGCTTACTATGTGTGAAATCTGAATGATCACAGAGGCCACATGGTACAAGGCTATTCCCAACAGCCTTGTACCCTGTGACCAGTCACAGCTCACAGTATTTCTCAATGGCTGCAAGAATGCAGCCAGAGAGAAGGAGAAATGATTGCTTTTACAGCCTTTATGGGTGTAAAAGCAATCCGTGTTAAAAAAAAAAAAAAAAATCTTCATCACCCCCCACAAGTAGTACAGTGTCACCATGGATATGGCTATAGATGCAAACACTCACTAGCTATGGCTCCTGACCTAGGCTATGCATTACACTGTTCATGCTCGTTTTGGGTTATTAACAAAATGTTGACACCAGGCATTAGCATTTTCAGGAGGTGCGTAGTAATGAAAAACGTGGCATTTCATATTCTAGATTTACTTTAAAAGGACACATCAGTGGTGAAATTCAAGGACAGCCATTAGGGGCCTCCTAAAAATGGTCATATTCTGCTCTGTAAACCATCGTCCACATTGCCCACCAGCTCCACTCCTCCAAAGACATCTTGCTCTCTAGCTCCCTTGTCACCTCCTCACACGCTCACCTCTAGAGCCTCTCCCATCCTCTGGAACTCTCTACCCCAGTATGTCCGATCAGCCCCCACCCTGCCTGCCTTTACACGTTCTTTGAAAAAAACTCACTTATTCAGGGAAGCCTACGCCACCTCCACCTCAGAATTGTACTTGAGTCACCTCCATCAGATCATCCCCCGCAGCTATCACCTTTTGTATCACCTCCCCCTTCCTTTAGATTGTAAGCTCCACGAGCAGGGCCCTCCTATTCCTTCTGTGCTGAAATGTATTGTAATTGTACTGTCTCCCCTTATATTGTCAAGTGCTGCACAAACTGTTGGTGCTATTTAGGAGATAAATGGCAGCAATTAACCGTTCTAACCCTTTCACTTTCACCATAACGCTTAAGTCAGTAGCAGCATAGGGGGTGGGGTGCACACAGCACATAAAAAAAAATCAAAATCTGACCTTGCTTAGTATGTACAATTACGAAAACATTTAAAAATGATGTATTATCGTTATTGCTGATTCTCCAAATTTAAAAACAGTTCAATGTAGACAATCGGCAATCTCCTGAGCCTTACCGACAAACATTGTGCATGTACAGCCAAATGTGGCAGATCACAGGCACTTCCCTAAACGATTTTCAGTGTCTGTATAGCCATTACAGCACTGCGCACATAACCCTGCCCTTGTCCCACGTGGCCCAGTACAATTTGTCATGTCATTAGGACACATTAGCACCCAGCAGCCGCTCCGATTGAATACAGTTAGAACCATTACAGTCACGTGACAGGAGCAGTTTCAATGCATACAAGTAGGGAAAACCCCCCCCCCCCAAAAACACACAAACACAAAAACAACTTAACAGAACACTATCATTACGGGGTTTATGATTGACGGAAGATCTCTGTAGGCAAACCTTTCCTTCCACTTTAACTGCCTCCCGCCATATAAAGGAATGGCGGACGGGAGGTGGTTCTCTCATTCTGGGAGGAAGTCATATGATGTCCTCCCAGTCTAAGGAAATGCCAGTTATCTGCATTCCTCTCCTCACAAGCTGCCACGCTGACAGCTCGTGAGAAGAGAGCCGGTAATCAGCATTCCTCAGAGGGAACATGTACAGTGATGATCAGTGCAGGCCCATCAGTGCCACCTGCCAATGCCCATCAGTGCCACAATGCCACCCGCCAGTGCTGCCTATTAGTGATGCCTGTCAATGCCCATCAGTGCCACCTACGAGTGCCTCCTCATCAGTACCCATCAGTGCAGCCTCATTAACGCACAACAGTGAAGGAGGAACATCACTTTACAAAATTTTATAACAAAGAAAAAAAATGTTTCCCCCCCCCTTTCAAAATTTTCAGTTGCTTTTGATTTAAACAAAAAATAAAAAAACCCAGAGGTGATTAAATACCACCAAAAGAAAGCTCTAATAAAAATTTCATATGAGTAAAATGTTGCATAACTGCTCAACTGTCAAAGTGCGACAGCGCTGAAAGCTGAAAATTGGCCTGGGCAGGAAAGGGGAAAAAGTGTCCGGTAGGCAAGTGGTTAAGTTGACTGTTGAAGTTGGGCTGTGGGCTTGTTTTAACCCCTTGACTAGACATACCTTGATAAGAAAGGGGTTAAGGGCTACTCCACTCAGAATTACAGAAATCAAACACCATCACAAGGTAACATTTTGATTTCAGGTTTTTATTTTTTTCTTTGCTGCCTTAAGTTAAAACGTCTGAGTGGTCGAGAAGAGGAAAAAAAAAAAAACTAAGATGTCCCAGATCTCTCTTCAAAATGAAAGACGGCTCCTCTCTCCCTCCCCGAGGTCCTCACTTGAAGATCTTGCCCTGGTTAAAGGCTTTGCCTACATGTTTGAAATCTCCTTCCCAGCAGAAATACTCTTTCACCAGGGTCTTGCACTCTTCACTGTCTGTATCCAGCTTCCTCCAGGTATAGGACTCGTAATCAATTTGCCAATCCTCAGACAGCTAAAAGTGGAGGAGAGTTTTACTGTTAAACAGATTTGGGAACAAAACACAATACCTTTGCTGCTAAATCTACAGCAAGGGTGGTATGATCTTGAGCATTATAAAATATGCTTGCTCTGCAATATCAATAAAGTGCAGCGCAACAAACAAATCAAACCTAAAAACATAAAAAAGGTCAGTTATTGCAAAAAATATTTTTAACAAAAGTCCAAAATGTGAACATCCAACTGAATCTCCGTGACACACGCACCTCCACATGCGACTAAGGTGTGTTCACGTCTTCCTTACACAATCAGTGCACCTCCACCACACCAGGTAAAAAACCTGCTCACCTCCAATGTGTCATATTAAGCTCATCTCATTCAAAATAAAGCAGCCCATCTGATCCCGAAATTCACTTCTTATCCAGGTTATATCCTCCTTCTCCTCAGCTTATGCTCAGAGATTGATGGATGTGTATACCATGTAATAAAAAGGCCAGAACATAGTGCTCTCCATTTAAGACTTATATCATCTCCACTGTTAAAAATCACACTTACATAATCCACATGCAACTCCAATAATCCAATTGCTCACCACTTTGCACAAAACTCATGACAAAGATCGGCTCCTCCTCCCTGGACGCATTGCACCTACATGCGGGCTTCTTCAGTAGGCCTACATGTGGATTATGTGTGATTTTAACAGTGGGGATGAAATAAAGTCTTAAAAAACGGAGAGCACTATGTTCTGGCCTTTTATTACATGGTATACAAATCCATCAATCAAGCTGAGGAGAAGGATATTACCTGGATAAGAAGTGGATTTTGGGATCAGAAGGGCTGCTTTATTTTGAATGAGATGGGCTTAATATGACATATTGGAGTTAAGCGTATTGGAGTGGTGGAGGTGCACGTGTCACGTAGATTGAATTGGATGCTCATATTTTGTACTTTGATTATAAATATTTTTTGCAATAAATGACCTTGAACGTTTTAGGTTTGAATTGTTTATGTTGCGCTTCACTTGTTACTATTTTAGGTTAGGGTGAGGTTAAAATAACTAACAAGTGTTTAGCTTGCAATACAGCATTGGTTTTATTCATATATTTACTTAAATTATTCACTGTGATTTGTATTGGGAGAGAGATCACACAAATTTGGGAGCATTTTTGCTCTGCAATATATGCTCAGTAGGATTTTGAAACATTTTAGACTTATGCAAAGTTATACAATATGTTAACTTACTGTGAAGGCCAAATCATGTCCTCTGAACACCCATATGCCAGAGATTGAACTGTCATTGTTGGTTCCAAACAGGATGACACTTGCAAAGCCAGTTTTACGTAGCTTGTCCAGGCGCTGGAACATACCTGTTGGATGAAGAAGACTGCTTAGTACAAAGCAGAACCAGTGCAACAATAAAACTTCTCTGTTTTACACTGAGTGGATAAAGGATCACAAGAAGGAGAAAACCAAAAAAAAAAAACAAACAAAAAAACACAAAACTAAACAAACACCTCATAATGTGCAGTGCCATCAGCCATGCAGGCTATTGGCAGCTTTAGGTTCAGGCCACTTCTATGAATTTTACAAAAAGGATAGGTTTACCTTTTATAACATGTTACACCCATATTCAGGGTGTAACATGTTACAGATGCACTGGCCTCCGCTACCCCCACTACAAATGGTCTTAAGTGATTGAGCATTAACTTCCCAAGATTGGTGACCACAGTCATGCTACAATGCAATGTATCATTGCAAAAGGCTACCAACACCAATGATACCACTTTCTACACAATTCTATCCCCAGCTGCACCCTCCTTCTGGAATTCAAAACCAGGCAGTAGCAGCTAACGCCCTCCATTTTACACTACATAAAAAAAATACATAGTCTGTCCCTTCATTCAGCCTTGGTCCCACTCCCATCCTGGGAATAGCTTAAAGACCTGTTCACACCTACTGCTTCACTTCTGCACCTACTCTGCAAGCTCAGGCACATACAGGCTTGCTACTTGCCCAATCCAAAGCAATAGAGCACTGAACTCCAGAGTGTGACTGCTCAGCGCATGGAACCTAAATTCTCACACCTACCTGCAAAATCTTAACTAAAAAGCTCAAGTAGTTTTAGAAGTCAAAACATCTGCACAGTTTTCATATATCCGGTCTTCAAGAATTGGCAGGTTTGTGTCAAACCATATCCAAACCCAAAAAAAAAAAAAAAAAAAAAAAATTGTAATATACTGCAGCCTGCCAATCCTTAGATGTGGTGACTACATTTTCCAACCGCCTTTATTTTCAGCTGGTGATCATCCTGTCTTCGTTATCTCTGGAGGATCTACATAGTCACCCCAGGACAGCAGCAGTATCGGCCTTGTCTTATGTGCAAATAAACAAATTAAAAAGTCCAATTCCAGCTAACACTTTTTAAGCAACAGGTGTCTTTCCTGTTAAGTCCTAACTTTTATTTCAGGTACTTATATAGCACCGTCAATTTATGAAGCGCTTTACATATTATATTGTACATTCACATCAGTCCCTAACCCTCAAGGGGCGTAACTATGAATTGCTGACCATTGTTGGTAACTGTCAGATTCAAATTGTTTGGTACAATCCCACAAGCTCAGCCTAACGAGTAGGGAGCATGAGAGGCACCCCTAAAATGGGAGCCAGGAATGAAAAGGTATCACACAACCGCACACTGGTAAAAACATAAAAGGAAAAAATAAAAATACAAAAACGAAAATATTCACTTCACACCCAGAAGAGTGTCTGTTGCCTAACAGAAGAACTCTGCAGAACTGCCTAACCTTGAGCACAGAATATTCTAGAACAGAAAACAGTCTCACTGCTAAGAACATTCACCTGATTAAGGGCCAACATGGTAAGGCAATGGAAGAAACTCAAGTTGCTGTGAATCAGCTACAGAAGGATAACCTATCTGCAAGTGAGCAGGTCCCAGGTAGGACTCTGGACATACTTCATCCCCAACAAGCTGTTCCTTAACAGAAACCAGGCTACTTGTTCTGTCACAGTAAAGGCTCCTTACACCTTTCTGAAGACACCAAGACCTAGGTAATAGGCAATGAATTCCAACCCAGGAAGCCAACTCAAGGCAGGCACACGGACACTAGGAGAACCATCTAATCATGGAAGCCAGACTGAAGCCCAGGGTAAAGTGGGGAGTAATCAGCCCCCAATGTGTGGAAGTACACCTCATCATAGAAGGCTTCTCAAAGGTGTTAGACAATCTCTGGCTAGGAGCCCTATAGACCAAGTGGGAGTCAGGATCTGAAGGACCGCAAGTACCCACTGCCGAAGTAGATAAAGTGTGGGATTCCTGAGACTTCCCTGCAGACCTGCTGCATTGAGGCATCCTTGTCATGCTGTCAAAAGCAAGGAGAAAGACAGCGTCCTTCAAAGTGTTGGCAATTCAGACACTTCTTGGGTTCAGTATCAGGGTCCCAAACACATCCAGAGTGCTCTACACATCTATGGAGACGAGTTTCATGCCAGCCACAAGTTTAGACACTTGTAATATGCCATCAAAACTGAAGCACAAGGCTCAAGACATTATAAAACCAGGGACCTACCTCAGTGGTAAAGGGAGCCTTTTATGGAAATCTACCCATTCCACTTGACAAGCTAAAGTCACTGCTAATATAGGACACAGCAAGGCCAGTCAAATCTTAATTGGGATCTAGGAACGGACTAATTGCCTGTCGGTGGAATCACAAAAGGGAGCACCTCCTCAACCAATGCAGTAAAAATCCTGTTAAACACATCAGGTTTAAACCAATGCAGAGATATAAGCCATTCATCCCAGAGCCCCCTGCCGCAGTTATAAAAGGGTACTCAGTGTCAATGGTTTCTGTGACACCCACCAGCATTCGCACTGGAACCGCTGTCAGTGACAACCAGCGTACAGAGCTTAGCCAAGGAGCTGAAAACTACCAGGCTTGTTAAATTGAAAGATGTAATGTCATGATTTACGTATTACTGCCCAAAGGGAAAAAAAAAAAAATTAGACACTTGGGTTGGGCCCTGGACCCATCAGGGCATGGCCAGTCCCCATAGAGCAGGGGTGTCCAAAACTATGGCCCTCCACATGTTGAGGAACTACAAGTCCCATGAGACCTTGCAAGACTGACATCCACAGACAAAGACATGCAGAGGCATGATGGGACTTGTAGTACTTCAACAGCTGGAGGGCTATAGTTTGGACACCCCTGCCATAGAGGAATGCCTCTACTAGCAGATGTAACGGAAAGGTCAGGGTCCCAGCCTGATCCAAGGCGGCGGCAAAGAAAAAAAAAAAAAAGTTGAATGGAAACTATGAGATCTAAAGATTCTAAATCATAGGTGCAAGTATTCCTGAAAAGGATAAAATAAAAAGGACTGACCTGGAACAAGCATGATGGAAAAAAACAACAACACACACACACACACACACACACACACGATCTCCCATCCTGGACACTTGTTTTTAGTCTCAGATACTATGTAGTGAAGGCAGGATCAGAACCCCCAATCTTCAAGTCCCAACTCTTATTTATAGTCTGCAAAGTGTTGACCTTTTATTGAAACTGCACTGAAAAGATTGACTGAAGCCTAGGTGGACTTTTCTCCCAACATACTGTGAAACAGAGGAAGTTGGGAAACTGGAACCAAGCAAAGGGGAAGCATAGCCTAGCAAAGGACCCATCCTTTAAAAAGCAAGTCAGCAATGTCGTCTTTCCTTACCCTTTCCTCTAAGACAGACACCGAAATGTTCTCACATTCTTACAATGGGCCAACAGGCATCAGTGGGACACAGAATCAAACAGGCACGTTTCAACACTACAGAAGCGATGGCACTTTGAGCACTTGGAACTACCAGGATATTTGGCAAATATAAAGCAATGTTGCATTTTAATTATCCATTCAAACTGATGTAAATCCAGGGGCTGAATTATTCAGTCTTTATCTCACTCAGAAAGATTCCTTGTAGCAGTTTCTTTCCATACCATTTCAAAAGGCTATGAGTTGCAAGATCACACACAACTAGACTTAAATGTAGTACAAAATGAATCCCTATGGGAGCACAAGACCTAGTTCTACAATATTCACAGCAAAACTAAATTCAGGCATTTTTGCACGTGTTACTAAAATCTCCAAGATATTAGGAGTTACCTTAAAGTAGAGTTTTTTTTTTTTATCTTAATCAACATTGACTATTTTTAATCCTTATGCTGCTAGCATTAGTTGAACAGATAGGAAAGTATTATGTTTATTTCTTTTAAAGATTTTTACTATACAATTCCTTAGTTACTTCCTGGTTTCCATGCCTAGGCATATGAGGTCATACATCCCAGGAGCCCTCATGAGGGGAGGGTTCTCAGCTCAGCCAATGCCTGAGCTATGTGCAGACAGATTCCAAGAAGTAAATGCTACTAACAGGTTCAGGCCTAGACAAAATGATGTCATACATCCCAAAAGTCTTCAAGAGGGGTTTTCTTAGCTAAGCAATCTCCCCTGGCTGCAAACTGAGCTAAGATCAGATTGATTCTAGGAAGTAAATGCTACTGGAATAATTGGCCCTCACTCAAGATGGCCATAAATGCTAGGAGGATGTTTTTCAAAATGAGCATAAGAAACAAATTAAGGGATGGATGCATGGATGGGGGAGTTTGCATAGAAAATTAAAAACAAATTCAATAGAGTTTTTAGTTTGTGCTGCTCAGATGCACTGCAGTTCGGCTTTAAGGCCACCTTCAACTTTGAAGTCTATTTCTAAATAGCCAAGGACACAAAGCAGATTTGCAAACTATAACCCTTCACTGCAGCCACTTAATGTAGCCCCAATGCACCTCTCCAAGAATCTGCAGGTAGCTGCACAATATCAAATGGAATTCATGTTACCCCATGAAAGATTACCCAAATTGGTCAACAGGATGATAGCTTATAGCCAAAAAAGTGTGTGTGTGCGTCTCTATCCACAAAAAAAAAAAAAAAAAAAAAAAAGTTTATACTGCTTATCAATCTGGGGAGGAAGTGAGACCATTTTCCTCTCTAGCAGAGCTATGGGCACCAAAGAATCTTCCGCATCTGACACTTCATAATGCTTACGATTCATCAGCATGGGTAGCCTGGCAAGCAGCTATTAACCTTTTGTGGGTGGCTCTAGCTCTGTAAAAAACAGCAAAAAGGACAGAAGTCACTGCCCACCAGGTAAGCAAACTAAAAAGAAAAGTCTAGAGAATGATGTTGGATAACAACGATAACTTTGCTCACCTACCTATAGGAATGTCTGAGCCACTATACAAGTCTATTTGTACACTTGACACGGTCAAACTTACTACAAATGTTGCATATGATAGAGGAGCCTGCTTCTCTAAAAAAAGGTCATTATGAATGGCAGTACATCACACCATTTAACTGATTCTTTCTGCCACACTTAAATGACAAGAACAACCCAACCCAACACCTCCCCCAAATTTAAAAAAAAAAAAAACAAAAAAAAAAAAAAAAACCACAGCACCAACAGAATACTTTGGGCAGCCATTCACCTGTAATGAGGTTGCAACTCATAAAGGTCTGTGAAAGTTCATTTGGGAAACGGTACTCTGAATACCAGATGGACCATCCCTCTTTGTCAAAGTGCTCCCAGAAGTAGGGAAGAGCCACAGAAAGTGTATCTTCATTTGAATACTTTCGTTTAAACTCATCCATAATGAAGGAGCTGTAAAGCAAGAAATCCTGTTACAAAAGTAGATAACTACTCAATGAGAGGAGAAAAAAAAAAAAAAAAAAAAAATTTCTCAATATACATGTTACACAAAATGTTCAGGAACATACCTCTTAGGGAGATGAGCATAAGGGTCCTTTGATTTTGGCTCTGCTGCAAGAGCCTTCTCAGATTCATCCAGGTCCTCTTCTGGAGCAGCGGCTGGGGCAGGAGCAGGCTTCTTTTCCTCCTTATCTTTCTTCTGCTCCTTTGCTGGTTTCTCCTTCTTGGGGGTCTCCTTCTTTGGTTGCAACTCTGCAAATGTTTTGGCTGGATGTGGAGAAAGTGGAACTCATTAAACAGATACAGAAATTTTGCAAGCAAAATGCTCTGAGGCACTAAATTACTATAAACTTACAAACATTGGCAAATTTTTATTTATTTTTTTAATTCTCAAACTTCTCTTAGGGAGTATCTTGTCGTGGCAATAAGTACACTGCTCAAAAAAATTTAAGGAACACTTTTTAATCAGAGTATATCAATTAAACTCCTGGGATACTGATCTGGTCAGTTAAGTAGCAGAGGGGGTTGTTAATTTTATTAACACCAAAGCTTTGGTGAAACTGATTAACAGGTGCACTAGATGGGCAACAATGAGATGACCCCCAAAACAGGAATGGTTTTACAAGTGGAGGCCACTGACATTTTTTCCCTACTCATCTTTTCTGACTGTTTTTCACTAGTTTTGCATATTGCTAGGGTCAGGTTCACTACTAGTAGCATGAGGAGATACCTGGACCCTACAGAGGTTGCACAGGCAGACCAAATCCTCCAGGATGGCACATCAATACATGCCACTGCCAGAAGGTTTGCTATGTAACCCAGCACAGTCTCAAGAGCATGGAGGAGATTCCAGGAGACAGGCAATTACTCTAGGAGAGCTGGGGCCATATAAAGGTCCTTAACCCATCAGCAGGAACGGTATCTGCTCCTTGCGCAAGGAGAAACAGGATGAGTACTGCCAGAGCCTTACAAAATGACCTCCAAGCAGGCCACTGGTGTGAATATCTCTGACAAAACAATCAGAAAGACTTCATGAGGGTGGCCTGAGGGCCCGATGTCCTCTTTTGGGCCCTGTGCTCACTGCCGGGCACTATAGAGGTCGATTGGCATTTGCCATTGAACACCAGAATTGGCAGGCCCACCACTAGCACCCTCTTCTTTTCACAGATGAGAGCAGGTTCACCCTGAGCACATGTGACAAACATTAGAGGGTCTGGAGAACTTTATGCTACCTGTAACATCGTTCAACATGACCGTTTTGTTGGTGTATCAGTGATGGTCTGGGGAGGCATATCCATGGGATGTACAGACCTCTACAGGCTAGACAAATGGCACCCTGACTGCCGTTAGGTATCACAATGAAATCCTTGGACCCATTGTCCTACGCTTGTGCAGTGGATCCTGGATTCCTCCTGGTGCATGACAATGCCCGGCCTCATGTGGGGAGAGTATGCAGGCAGTTCCTGGAGGATGAAGGAATTGATACCACTGAACAGCCCCCACGCTCGCCTGACCTAAATCTAATAGAACACCTCTGGTATATCATGTTTCGATCTGAAGCCGCCAGTTGCACCTCGGACTGTCCAGGAGCTCAGTGATGCCCTACATGGGGGCCATACAAAACTATTGTAAAATTTTAAAGTTGCTGCAAGGAAATTGCAGCAAAACTAGCCTGCTGCATAATTTTTTCGCTTTGATTTTCAGGGTGTCTTTGACTTCAGTCCTCTATAGGTTGATCATTTTTATTTCCATTACACGATGGGGCACCCTTACGTTCTTAAACACATTACCCAATCCATATCAGTATAGATATTCAGCATGATGATATTTTTCCCTATTGAGATCTGATGTGTTTTCAAAGTGTTCCTTTAATTTTTTTGAGAAGTGTATTTAAGTGCAAGGCAGCAATACCTGTTATGAGTAGCTCCACTATCTGGACCCAATTCTTTTGAGAAAACTAACTTTTCACTCTGCCTCTGCCAAAGCACCCCTTAGCCCACATTTATATGCTTAGCTGAAATGCAACCAAGGTAGAGTGCCAAGTTTAAGCCACATATAGAAAGTCAGACACCCTAAAGCTGTATACATGCTATTAGACATCAATAACCATGTAGTCTGAAAGTAAAAAAAAAAAAAAAAAAAAAAAAAAAAAAAACGCACCAAGAATAGGCCAGTGCACCAAACAATGAGAAATACGATCAGATCTTTAACGGGACTTGGGGGGGGGGGGGGGGGGGGGGGGGGAGGCTGCTTTTTTTAAACTTTAGATGCTGCAAACTTCTGATATTGCCCTGCAGCAGTCACCCTTACTTTACTAGCAAGTCACTGACCTGAAAGAACAGAGGTCTGGTGCCCTGGTCACACTGGCTACATACTTGCTCTGAGCAAACACACACACACACACACACACACACACACACCTAATGGACCAAACATTGCTAAAGTCACAAGGACAATTACCATCAAACTGAGCCATCTTATCGCAGAGTTTCACCTCTCCCAACACAGCACGGAACTGTGGCTGGTTCACACATGTCACAAACCATCTTGTGACATTACCGTAAGGCTGACGGAAGGAAGGCTCCAGGACCTGAGGACAGAATTTAGTATACATTAGTTACAGCTATTATATCCAAGCAGGTATACATTTTGTAAAATATGAAATATCAGGAACCGTTCTGAAATGAGAAGCAAAGACCAGAGTATGGTGGAGATACTCGGTGTGAAAAGTACTTTTAAATTATTCAGTCTCAGCAACAAATACATACCTGTTTATACAGCCAAAGCAGGGAGCATGTTACAGTGATGTCGGCCAGGGAGACTCTCTCCCCCCACTAGGAATGTTCTTGTCTGCAGATGGGAATCCAGAGTAGCCAGAACATGCTTCACCTCCTCCTTGGCTTGTTCTGTTGCCTTTTTAAAACAATGAAAGCAGGAATGTTACTTAAACCAGTCAAATATGTCACCTGTTCTCAAAGTTCATACCAGCAGGCAATTTTACTCATCTCCCAAACTTCCATGTATAATGGCTTTAATATAAACTATGTTTTAGCAAATAAAAGGTCATATTTTCATTACATTGGGTCCCCTTGAGATTACCAAATTATGCACTGTCCCAGTGACAAGTGCCATCCAACAGAAGGGGGTGGAGCAATTCATTCTCCCTGATTGGTACAAAAAAAAAAAAAAAAAAAAAAAAAACCCTCCACTGAGGCTCTAATCCTTCTTTACATCGTTACAAACATTTTTCCAGATCTGCTTAAGGAAGACAAGTGGGGAAAAATAATAAATACCACCTGAACAGGATCGGCAGAAATCCCATAGTCCTGCCATTCAGAAAACAAAAAATAAAATAAAATAAAATTAGAAATGCCTACCTGTTTGTTGAACTGCATGATCCCCAGAGTTGGGAAAACCCAGGCACTGGCCGGAGGGACAATGTGACTGTCTGCGAAGCTGACCCATTGGATAATCTGAGCCTGATCTAATCGGGAAGTTCCACGGAGTTCATCATTACCAACTGTTGACAGAAAAAAAAAAAAAAAGTTACGTTAACATCTTGCCTTCTCGTAATATACACCATTAAAAATGTGCGCAGGTTGATAACCATTTTGGCAAATATCTGTATCAGGTCACAACTGTGGCCCGCTACCATGAAAAGAAAACAGTGCGGGGGGGGGGGGGGGGGGGGGGGGAGGACAAACAATGCACCCCCACTCTGTGGGAGACATTGCAGATAGAAAAGTACTGCTCAGCTCAGAGCACTTCTTGATCACAGCTGTCAAAATGCCATTCCTGTGCTGATGTGGCTGGTCTAATAGATTCCGGATATTCAATTAAAAAAAATATTACCTGTCACCTGCCAATGCAATCACAACGGAGGCTTGTTACACATGGGTATCAGAACGCATTCTGAAATGCAAGCAATAATTCTAGGTCCCTCATTTACAGTTTACTGAGAGCATGAGCTTTAAGCCATCAGTTAAAACAGGTACGGCTTTCATTTTGATACAACGCGATTTCAAAGCCACATCAGTGCGATTTGCACTGCTGATTCCATTGCGGCTTGCAACTTTAATAATAATAATAATAATAAAAAAAAAACCCTCTATGTAAGTCATGATGAAAAATCAGCAAAAAATACTGCAGAAACCTTTCAGAATTACTGCAACATAAGTTGCGGCGATTTGAGCAGTTCCAATGCCGGTAATGGGGTGCGACTTGTCATGCGATTTGGAACTGTCAGATCGCACAAGTTGCACCGGAGTGAACAGGGGCTAAAAGGCATTTTAAGACTTAGGTAACAATATTTTGATGTTTCAAGCACACTGCCACATTTGTGTACAAATATAAATAAAATTGTGGGACTAAATTGTGTGCCCCAAAACATTTTTTTAATGTACCATTTACTGAAAATATAAAATTGATAAACAGTTGCACAGATATCCTGCAACATTAAAAACTGCAAATATAAATCTTTTTATTCTACAGTGCATCTAGTCCAGACTCTCCCAACCTTTTCAATATTAGTACTGCTTGGACCTTGAAGGGGACATACCTCGAAAGCTTGTCCTCAAAATTGTATGTTAGTGCAAATAAAAAAGTATCACGACAGTACTCAATTGTTTGTCGCAAATGTACAATCGCCTCAACCTTTTCAATATAATTTCAACATTTTAGTGTGATGGTCAGTGGAAAGAATGCCTCTTACAGATAGCTAAAAAGAGAACTGGTGTCAGGAGGAACTTATCTGAGAGGAAAAAAAAACAAATAATTTAAAAAAAAACTAAATTTTGAAGGAACCCTAGTTGAGGAAACTACTCTAGTCTAACCAAATCCTAAACTATAATAGGTTTACCTTCTGGAAAAAATAATAAATGACATTTACTGAAAAAGAAAAAAAAAAAAAAAAAAAAAAAAAAAAAAAATCAGTGGATCAGGAATGCAATGCCAGACTCCTGTACCTTCAGGCTTGGTTCACATCTGTGCAGGTGGTGCCGCTGCAGAACCGCATGAAAATCCATGCAGCCGCATCACCCGCGCAGAGGAATGCGGACCCGCGGGTGGGTGCCATTAGTTCTAATGGCACGCCACACAAACATGAAATCGCAACCGTACTGGGAACCGAGGTTCCTGTGTGGGCTGCGTTTTCAGAGGAAGTGCAGGGACTTCTTCCCTGCGTGTCACAGGGCACAGGAGTCCATTCAAATGAATGGGCTCTCTTGCCCGCACAAAACACGGCCCGCATACATGTGAACCAGGGGTCACACAGTATGACCGTTTACAATTTGCAGGGCTTGTGAACAAACTAAGACCACTCATCAGCGACCACACAGTTCATTCAGAACTACAAGCAGTCAACTGCAATGGCTGAAGGTAGTTGTGGTTCATGCATTCACAGAAAACTAATGGAATGATGTGGCCATGTGGGCACTGCTTTTGAATTGTGACAGCAGGTAAAAAGAAGAATTAGGTGAAATGGCTGCCGGCGATGGAACATTGTTCATATTCCACTCTAAATACGCAATCCAATTCCAAAACATGATTGATTATATCCCTCAAGGAGTCAGGGATGCCCCCTAGAAACGCAGCCAGGGAAGGCAGTAAAAATAGGGAGTCTGAGCTGTAGTTTTACCCCCCACCAGGTAATGACAGGCAGCAAGTCCCCTCTAAGCTAATAGTCAAATGTCTCCAAGAAGGAATACAACATAGATTGCTTTTCAGAAGGACAGCAGTGACCGCTACAAGTGTGAGTTCAAGTGATTTTACTGTGATCGATTATAGTGCTGCGTTGCCATTTCATCTACTGCTGAAGTCTCTCCTTCATTCCATTTCTGCCGATGCCCAGTCTTCAAGCCCCCTCACCTGCAGCTGGTCACTGACACAACCCTTGAAAAAGACTTCAGGAAGGGTCACAATCCTGCAGGCAATGTAATTGTTGGGAGCTACACTTAATCTGCCAAATGATTTCGTATGACCCACCGCTCGGCATACATATCCTAGCAGTATAGAGATAACTGATAGTTTGCATCTTTTTTTTTTTTTTTTTAAAGGAGCTTACAATCTATGAGATTTACTGTTCCAAGGATCAGGCCCTCCTTTCCCTCTTGTTTTGAACTGTATTGTCTCCCATTATATTGTAAAGCGCTGAGCAAACTGTTGGCGCTATATAAATCCTGTATAATAATAATAAAGCAAGGAGAATGGGTTCATGTTAAATTCATCCCATGATCCCACCTGCTGGTAAGGATAGTTTACTTTAACCCACTTCACCTCTCATTTGCCACATGTTAAAATTAGCATTTTTGGAAAAAAAAAAAACAAAAAACACACACTAGAACTTAATGCATAAACAAAATGTACCCCCCCATTTTATGCAAAATAAGATGCAATGCAATGTCAAGTAAATGGATACCAACTAGATCAAGCCTCAAAACTGTGCACCTGCGAAATAGCAAAAAATTACAGTACCAGATTTATCATTAGGCAGAACTTTAAGTGCTCCTACAACTCAAGAGTTAGTAAATGAGAGCCCTTTGAAATGTGTGGGCATGGGGTGAGGGGATGCTGTTGCAGTTTGAATGGTACCTGGCAGCTCTGCATCCAGCTGGCAATCATTTTGAACTAGAACAGCAACAAACTGACCTTCAAGTTGGGGCCTCAAGAGTAGGTAACCACTGCTTTGCAACTTTGATATGCATTTCCCAACAGAATACCTCAAACCATCTAGACCAGTGGGGCCCTGAACTACAGGCTGCACTTCTCCCAGTAAAACCAATCCTGCCCAATCCTATCCAAAGCAGAACAAAATGCATTACATCACTTTTTGTATTGCTCCCATTCTTACCAAGATCAATAGGCCAGCCTCCAATAATTTCCTTAAGTCATACTATATTTCTTAGCAGCAGCCATAACCACTTTAAATAGCCTTTAATGGGCTTAGGGTTTTATTTTATTTTATTACAAGGTTGAAAATAAAAGTAGGCAACTAACCTAATAAATCATAAGCAATGGAGAACAGATCCGCCAGAGACTACTAGCATTATAAAATGCACTGACTGGAAAAAAAAAAAAAAAAAAAAAACGATTTCATACCATAGTGAGCAATGGCACTGCTCTCAAAACAGACAGAAGCCATCATTTCCCTCAAAAGCTGGAACCTAAGAAAAAGAACACAGGACCATTACATGTCAAGAAACTGTACTTTAGGTGAAAACATCAGCCAGGAAAATATATGTAATAAAATCAATAATATGTGTACTTTCTATTGCAAAGAAAAATGTTAGTTTTTAGTGTATGGAATGGTTAAAAAAAAAAAAAAAATCGGTTTCCTACCTGATCATATTTAAAATATTTTCCTTCCACTTTCTGTATACACAATAGGAAGAGGGGAAATCTCTTTAAAAAAAAAAAAAAATGGAGTGAACTCCCCTCTCAGTTGTCACAGAACAAGTGACACAAAACAAGGAGCTCCACGAATGGATTTCTGTTCAATTCTTGTTCTGAGTTTTTAATTTTGCGGACAATGGTCACCAGAACAAAAATGACAACCTCCCCTATGCAGGGACACAAACATTAACTGATTCGGGGGTCCAAATCCTTTACCACTACAAAAAAAACTTGGCTTTAGATACACTTTTACAAAATATTACAGAGTTCTCCGTTTTGCCTAAACTCCCACTTAAAGTGAAACCGTAAACAGCAGGCAGCCATGCACTGAGCACAATTGGATATCCTGTTTAAGTTCCCCGGACACCGTTAAGAGCACCGCTGGAACTACAAAATATCTGTACTCAGGAGGTATGGAGGCTGTTTTTGCAGAATGCATCTGAAAATAATTAAATGGCTTGTGTGCTGATCATATGACATTATAAAAAAAATAAATAAATAAATCACGAGTTAGATTAGGATTGCATTCCCACATGGGAGTTTTGAATCGTGGGCCAAATTGCCACGATTTCAAACCGCTCTGCTAAAATGACAAATCCTGGCACCTAAAAACGAGGTGCAATTCTGCCACGAATGTTGCACAATAAATTGTGCTGCAACTGCGGCGATGCATGTCACACAATGCGGTTTGCAGCTCGACAACCGTGGCAGAACCGCACTGTGTTTTCAGGTGTCATTAAAATGAATGGCAGCCAAACACACAGTCCTGTGATTTGTCATTTTAGCAGAGCATTGAAACTGCGAGCAGAATCGTGGCAATTAAAAATGCCCTAGTGTGAATGGGGCCTAAGGGTTCTGGCTTCAATCTGACTTTCCTGAGCTGCATGCTTGCTCTGGGTCACTAGCTCAGGTGTACTGCAGTAGGACATCAAAGTAACTAAACATTTAACAAAGTGACCAGCAATAACAACCAATACCGCTCACTACAAACTTCCTTTAGGTTGTCTAACCCCTCCCCCTATAAAGGCTGGCATTAGTCTATACTTCAGATGGATCAGCTATCCAGCCATCAAACATTAACACATCCGTCATCATCACTCACCTTCCCCAGAGGAAATTTCTTTAGGAATTCTGGTGTTTTGTTTGTCACACCAAATTGGAACTCGGGGGCAGAGGATGCAACAGTTATAGGAAACCTGGAGTACTGAGCAGCGATGAGGGGCTTGTATGCCCTCCAGTTGTCAGGGTACGTGTACAGAGTCTGCAACAGAAGAGAGAAAGGAAAAAAAAAAAAAAAAACTCATTAATCAAACAGCGACTCCAGCCTTACACAATCAAGAACTGCCAGCAAAAGTCTGCTTGGATTACCTACGGCTGATCTGTACATCTGCAAAACATTGGCCCATTTCACCATGATGGATGCAGCCACCTCCAGGACATGTGAATGGATACAAAACAGAACCATCTGCTGAGCCACACAATGTCCCGCGGAAACTCCAACCATCAGAATGATTCTGACAACTGCCAAGTAGATGCCATGAATGCAGGTGGGAAGATCAGATTTCATGCCTGTAAACAGCAGACCTTAGAGTAAGCCTTTTACAAGAGAAAAGTGTGAATGCAATGCTCTGATCCTCTGCTGCAAATGCTACTTGCCTGGCTGTCACGCTGGCCAAGAGGCCTCATTTCAGGTCAATGGCATGTACTGAAACAGGGGATGAGCATGACAGCCAGGCAACTACCATTTGCAGACCACGTTGTCCACAGAATCCTCCTTGTTTTCTCTCAGCAAAGGTTTTCAAATTGTTTCAGAAAGTTGATATGAATATGCCAGCTGCATTTTTAAGATACCTAGGTAAGCTGCTTCACAAGAGTTGTCCAGTTCCGTTTCTATACAGAAGCATGCATTTCATATATACAGTAACCAATTACTTGTGACACCATAGACAGGACACACCTAGCTATAGATGCTACAATCATACATCGGCTCCTAGGTTCATCACTTGACACACGTCATTAGAACCGGCTTCTTACTCCAGACTCTGAACAATGCCACATCCATCAAATATTTAGATCCTCCTGGAGCCTTTGACATTTTTTTACTAGGCCTTTAATGGAAAATAGTTTTTTTCCCTCATGTCTAAGAGCACAAAACCAGGCAGCAGTTTTTATTCAGGTCAATAAATTAAATTTGGTAATCCTGACATAGACACGTGTTTTGCCTTTTTTCATATAGCCATGTCAGGATTACCAAATTTAATTTATTCACATGAATAAAAATGGCTGCTTCTTCTGAGCCCTGTTGGGGGCTAGTACCTAGGCAGTGTAGGTTGCATGGTTTCTGGTTAGAAGTATTGTGGTGGTTTTGTGTCCTTAGAGATGAGAGAAAAAAAAAAAAAAAAAAAAAAACACACTTATTTTCCATTAAAGGCCTAGTAAAAAAAAATGTCCAAGGTTCCATTTTAAGTCAATAGAGATGCAAGAAAAATGCGCAGAGGGTGCTTGACTGGTATTTCATCTTCACCTGGTCTTTATTCCGAGTTTGCAGGCTTCAGCCAATGGAAAGGCCGAGCTGCGATGATGTCCCTCCCGTGCATGCGTGTGAACATCATGGCCATGGCACAGCGCTACCCAATGGGCAGTATGCAATCCATTGAGTGTGCAGTGCCATTGACGTCACCGGCTGCTACATATGTAAATATCTCCTAAATGGTGCATATCTAGGAGATAGTCACTGTACCTACAGGTAAGACTTACCTGTAGGTACTAAAGAAAAGGCAGAATTTCCCATCACTTTAAGGAGCCAGCATCCTAACGATCAGTGAACAGCTGTTTATGAAGGAGATAGCACCCGCTGGCATCCTTAAAGTGGAATTTTAGTAAAAAAATGAAGTCCTGCTAGATCACATCATGCTGGTCCCTGTTGCCTAAACTACCTAGACTGTTTAAAGTGGTTGTAAAAGCTCAAGGTTTTTTACCTTTCTGCATTCTATGCAGGGGCATCCCTAGGGTTGGTGTCACCCGGTGCGGTAACACTTGGTGACACCCCCTCCGACGATCCTCGCAGAATGGATCAGATCTGCGGATTGAGCATAATAGATCGGACTCTGATCCATTATGCTTAATCCGCAGATCCGATCCATCCTGCGGGGATCGTCGGCTTGCTTTACAACTTACCTTTTCGTGGAGTGGGTCCGGTGTAACCCCGTTTAGGTTGTATGCCAACGATCCATTCTCCCCAATCCGCAGATCCAATGCATCCTGCGGGGATCGTCGGCATGCAACCTATACGGGGTGACAGCAGACCCAGTCCACGAAAAGATAAGTTGTAAAGCAAGCAGACAATCCCCGCCGGATGGATCGGATCTGTGGATTAGGGAGCATAATGGATCGGACTCCGATCTATTATGCTCCCCAATCCGCAGATCCGATCCATCCTCCGGGGATTGTCGGCTTGCTTTACAACTTACCTTTTCATGGAGCGGTCCAGTGTCACCCCGTGCGGCGCGCACCCCACGCACCTGCCTAGGGACGCCCCTGATTCTATGCATGAAGGAAAAAAAAAGGTCTGTGTGCAGCAGTGCTCCCAGCCCCCTCAATACTTACCTGAACTCCATCGCGATCCATCAATGTGCTTGACAGCCTCGGCTGTCCCGGGTCTCTGCCTCCTCATTGGCAAAGACAGCAAGCGGGAGCCATTGGAGAACACGGAGCAGCAGCTTGGAAACATGCCTGCTCGGGTGCCCCCATAGCAAGCAGACAGGTAGAAGCCAGGAGTGCCAGCAGGGAACCTGAGAAAAGGAGGATCTGTGCTGCACTGTGCAAAACCACTGCACAAAGCAGGTAAGTATAGACATGTTTGTTATTGCTCCACCCCCAAAAAAAAAAAAAAAAAACCTTTAGCATTGCTTTAAAATCCAGGCATGCAATGTCTCACCCTGCTCTGCACATTTTAAGGCACCATGCCAAAAATGTAGAACCCGATCTGCTGACAGCCTAAAGATTTACTGCTGCTCAGGGCTCTGGGCTTCAGTAAAATGGCAACCTCCAGCAAGAACACACAGAACAATGCTGGAGGCAATTTACCGCACACACTACTTTTGGTAGCATAATTAATGTGGAATGTATGTTCTATACCAAAACACATTTTTATCAAGTTGTTATGGGTAAAGTTCAACTTTAACAACCAGCTATTCACTGCATATGCCTTGTGCTACAGTATATGCATTGCATTCAATTTTAACACAAGACATTTAAAACAAACTACGAGTTTTTCTTCTTAACCACTTCAAGTCCGGACACTTTCACCCCCTTCCAGTCCAGGCCAATTTTTAGCTTTTGACACTATCACACTTTGAATGACAATTGCACGGTCATGCAACGCTGTATCCATATGAATTTTTTAGCATTTTTTTTGAGACAGATAAAACTTTATTTTGGTGGTATTTATTCACCACTGGGATTTTTATTTTTTTTGCTATATAAATAAAAATGTCCAAAAAATTTTTTAAAAAAGTGTTTCTTATAAAATTTTGCAAATAATCTTTCTTTGTTGGCTAAAATATATTCCGTTATCTTTCAAAAAAAAAAAATAAAATATATATATATATATATATATCCAAGTTAGTTTATAGCTAAAAATTATAATTTTTGAAATTTTTATATATATATATATATATATATTTTTTTTTTTTTTTTTACATACTGTCACCCTAGCAGTACATGGTCACCAAAGTGACACTGTACTACTTTTGGGGGATGATTTTTTTTTTTTTTTTTAAACACTGATTGCTTGTATACCCATAAAGGCTGTAAAAGCAATCATTTCTCCTTTTTCTGGCTGCATTCTTGCAGCCATTGAGAAATACTGTGTGAACTGTGATTGGTCACAGCTTGTCACATGGTACAAGGCTGTTGTGAATAGCCTTGTACCATGTGATCTCTGTGATCATTCACAGATTTCAGACGTAGTAAGCAATGATGTCAGAAGTGACATCTTGCTTACTACTCTTCAGCTGATCACTGATTGGCCAATCAGTGATCGCATGATCGGGACCTCACACAGAGGTCCCGTACGGCGAACGGTGTTCCACTGTGTCCAGAGGACAGCGGGCACCAGATCGCAGTGCTGCACGCTCCCAGGGAGCGCGCACAAGCACAGAGCAGGGAGGCAGTTTATAAACGGCCACCCACCCCTGCACTGCTTCCATCTGGCCATTTATATACATGGACCGGACGGGAAGTGGTTAAACGTATAGCACATTTTAAAGTGTAAAACCAGCCCTACAGGGGTGCATGGCATTACCAATAGACTGAGCTCTAGTACAGAGCACATGGTAACTGCCACACAATGATCAGTGTAGAGGAGATCACAGAACATTTCTACTTGTATGAGATAGGAGACAGGACCCCTAGTACAGGAGTCCTCTGATGTTGCCCTTGACCTCAAACTAGGGAAGTGCATGCCCAGGGTCAACAACTCATTGATCGCAATCTGGGATTGATAACCCGCCATCCTAGAGCATTAGAGTGCATTTAGCCAGCAGTGGGAGGAAGCAGGCGGCCGTGGAGAGAGCAAGAGCCGCATAAGGCAATGGTTCTTCTGTATCATCGGCTCTTTCGCCTAGGATCTTTCCAGCAGCCTGGAGAGAGGTATTAAACAACACACACTGAGCTTTTGCAATGGGCATATTAGCACCTATAAAAGGGTAACAACTATTCAGCTGCTTTTACACGGATCCGCAGTACAGTGCACCTTTCCGAAAGTGCCCCAAAACTGCTGAATGCAGGCGTTTCAAAAAGAGCACCAGACCTGCAAGATTTAATAGAAGTGTATGGCAAAGCACATATAACCCACAGGAAGGCCGCAGGTGTACCAGTATGAAAGCAGTCTTCTGGGGGGGGGGGGGGGGGGGGGCCTGGGACAGTAAAACCCCATAGGTGAGATGTCTTTTTACCACACCCAACCAATGATGTAGTGTCAGGGGTTGCAATGGCAGCCGCACTCCATGCTCCAGGTGCAGCCTCCCTATCACATTCTGTTTTAGTGCCGGTTCACATATACGCAGATTGGATGCGGTTCAGATTGGATGCGGTTCAAACTGCATCCAATCTACATGAAATGTAAAAGAACATTGCACTCTTTTTTAATCTGCATTGCCAGTGCATCGGACATATGTGAGCAGGCAGCTTAGGAAGCAATTTCTGAGCAGCGGCTTCAGGTGCAGATTACAGGCTATCGACTTCTATGGGAACCATTCTA